GAGAAATCTCCATACTTCAGAAGAAGCTGTTCTTGACTTAGATGAAACTTTTCTAACATTGACTTTTCTTATTTGGAAACGTTTGTGGTCAAGTTTTGAAGTTTTTATCTTAATTTGCATCTTACTTGGTCAAGGATACGTAACTTGGTCTAATACTCCTAGTGGAAATATTAAAGAGGGCCAAAATAAAGACACTGAAACATAGTAGCAGCAAGGGACACAAAATAAATGTTTTTGTGAAACGTTAGTGAATGGAAGTTTATTTGAAGCAAAATTTCCATTATTTTTTTAAGAGATTTTAAGGAAACGTTTTTAAATAGAAATGTGATTTTAGGCTTATTGCTGTAGATGTAATCATACATTTGAAAATAATGTTTGGAAACATCAGTTAATATCATTGCATTCCTGATATATTTAATTTAATATTTAATAACGTTTGGGTTCTCAGCCATGTTGCACTGAATGAATTGGCAAACATTTGTTCTCCAGCTGGATGCCTTGTGTGATGTGCAGGAGTTTTTTCGTAATGTAAAATACAGCCCTTGGCCTAATTTGAGGATGCTATTACAGGTGGTTTTGCTGTACAGGAGACAGGGAGGTGGTGGTGACAGAGCTTGATACTGCTTTTCTTCAAGATACCAGGAAAACTGAGTAACTTTACCTCTTGCAACTTGGGAGATATTTTTAAGTGGCTAAAAGGGACTTCCAAACTTTGTATTACTAAACTCGTAATCTAATATTCTACCTTCGGGAGTTAGAAGTGCAGAGGAAGAAAATTGCATTGTGTTTTAAACCATTGCTTTTCATTAAAAGAGCCATGGGTAGGAGAGAGAGGGATGTACAGAGTTATTTCTTAGACAGCCATGAGCAGTGAGGGAATGATGAGGGTTTCCTTGATGGAACTGTGATTTACTGGGTCAATGTTTTATCCTCACATCCCTTCAGAACTCGAAGGTTCACAGGAAAAAATTGAAAAGGTACTTGGGAGCCTTTTCTTTGTTTCTTTAAATGATTCCTAGAAATTTGGTCTCAAATTAAAGGTGATAGCTTATCAGAATACTGTGATCTGACACAGACTAACTATAAAATGGAGTATTATTTTTAGTATTCTGTAGTCAGTTTATTGTGTTTCTATAATGAAATGTTTGACCTTTCTGAAAAAAGTCGTTTCAGACTATCTACAGAACTTAGAGGGGGGGGGGGAAGTGTATAGACAATTTTGTCCTACTAATTTGCCTAAAACATTTAAGCTCTGAGCTTATTTTACTCTAAGAAGCCACCTATTTCTTAAAACCAGGCAATCATGTTATGGTTTTTTTTTCACTGCAGTTTTAGAAGAGATTCCAAATCAAGATTATAATCTTAATCTACTTAATCATAAAATGTATTGTGTAACACTTGATTTTACAATGGTCTGTATAACATAACAAGTACTAACCTGGGTACTGATCTGAGAGACCTGGCACTACTGAGCAGAGAGGCACACAGGCAAGCAACAAAATACAGACAGATGTAAGGCCTTGGCTTTTTCCTCGCAAAGTCACCAGGATTTGGAGTAGAAACCAGGAGGAATACTATGGAATGCTTGCTTATGCAAAGCCTTCTGAGATAACGGGAGACACAGAATCTTTTTGATTTATGAGCCTCTTCTTTTTGAGCATGGACTTGCCATAGTAACTTTGTGGTTATGGCAAATACTACTGATTTTACATAAAGGCAGATCATTGCCTAGAGTAATGTACTAACATTAATGGGATCAAACTTCTGCCTTGGGAGGAAGGCTAAATAATCATAGTTATTAAGCTTAAGTTATTAATTTCTGTTAATTTATTGTTAACTTTAGAATTACATTTCTTGTTCAGTCTTGATATATTCCATCTTCCATATACATTTGTGCCACTTTGCAGGCTGAAGTCTTGTCTCCAGTGTCATGAAGTAAATCCTAAAGTTTTCACTTTGTTGACCAGGAGAATTTAGAGTTGCTGTTATAGAAAGTAAATGTGCATTAAGGATGTTCAAGGATATTGTTGTTGACTTTGAATTCATAGAGGTGATAAGTACTTTGCATCATAAAAAACTCAGTGAATCAGTATTTACAGGTGCCTTACAAATATTTCTTGTGTGAAACAGAGCAGAAACTGTAAACTGTTTACTTTTACAGTCAGGAACTTGAACTAGTTTATATCTTAGTTTACAGAAATGTTTTTTAAATACTGGTACTTGTGAGCATAATTTGCTGCAGCTCTGGGGAATGCCCTGAAGGCACATGAGAAAACGGGGAACTTCAGAAGTGTGTGATTGTCAACAAGTGTCTAATTGGACTAATTTCTTAGTATTTTGGAAAGAAAATCTAAATGAGGTAATGATTTTATGCAGTACAGTAATGATTATGATCAAACCAGGCAATATTGTTATGTCCTAGTTATACTACAGATCTTCTGAAAGTTTTCTTATTCAGGTAAGAGCAAAGGTGG